GGCTGGCGCGGGGCTCTCGGGCCGGACAGTGCTGACAGGGCCCGTGGGCGTGAAGATGAGCTGGGGACAGGGAGAGTAGGTGCATGGCTCACCGTGTCAGGGGTGGCACACCCTGTGTGTCCCTCCTCTGTGTTCCTACAGGGTGGCACATGGGTATCTCTCTATGTAGGGTAGGGATAGGCACACCAGTGGGGAGGAGGGCACCCTATAGGGTCCCAACACCCCCCAAAGGCAAACAACACCTGCTTGGGCACCCCCAATGGGGCTCTGGGCATCCCCAGCAGCATGGGGTGCACCCTATATAGGGGCTGGGTTCCCTCAGCAACGTGAAGGCACCTCATGAAGTCTACACACCTCAGGATGATGGGCACCCTGTGAGGTCCTTGGACCCCCAAGAGGGTGGGGGGCACCCCACAGGCTCTAGGCACCTTATGGACTCCCCATGAGTCCTGGGCATGCCACGCAGAGCAATGACCACCCCTAAAGGGTCATAGCACAGCCATGGGCACTCTGTGGGTCCTGGTCACCCCACAACAGGATGATGGGCACCCCAATGGTCCTGGGCACCCCATCAGGATGCTGAGGCGCGTCATGTCCCAGCCCCACCCTTACCATCTGTGCCCGCAGGTACATCTGGGCCTGGCTGGCGGTGAGGGCAGGTGAGGCAGTGTTGCCCAGCAGCACAGCCTGCTGAGCAATGCCTGATGACCCGGGCCCCACACTCTGCGCCCGGTTCAGCAGCTGTGCCGCCGCCGGTGACGTTGCCAGGTTGATCTGGAATGGGGTATCAGAAAGTCGGGGTGCTTGCACAGGTGAGCATGGGTTGGGGGGAGTGCCGAGAGGCTGAGAAACTCACTGTGGGCTGCTGTGCCGGGGCCGGCTGGGTGCAATTGCCCCCTGAGGAGCCACTTTGCCGGTTCGCCGCCAGGCTTGCCTTGGGAAAAAGCCAAAGGTGAGGGGTTTGCCAGCCCTGAGCGACTCCCAGGGCCGATGGGATGCCCATACCTGCTGGACAGCAGCCAGGCTCTGGAGCTGAGCGCTGGTGAGGTGCTGCTGCTGGAGTGCAGCCGTCTGCAGCATGAGGTGCTGTTGCTGTGCCGCATACATCTGCTGCAGGTACTGCGCCGCCGTGTTGGGCTGCCGGTGCAGCGCCTGCTGGATCACCTTTGGGGGGGGAAACGTAGCCCCGGGCTCTGCCACAACTCCCCCGGTGCCCCCCAACCCTCCAGTGCCCCCCAGCCCCATACCTGCACGGTCTGGCGGTCGGGGATGCCGCTGTAGACGGAGATCTGGGGCCCGGATGGGCGTGTGGCCGTGGTGCTGGTGAGCGTTGGGGCCGCACCACCGGCACTGCTGGCAGGAGTGGAAGCTGGGAGCTGCTCATTCTCCATGGTGGGGCCGGGGCAGGATGGAGGAAGTGGGTCAGACTAGAGCTGGGGGGAGTAACAGAGTGAGGGGGTATCCCTGGCACCACATGTCCACAACAGGGGGCTGGAATCACAGAGGAGGAGGGAGGTGGGGTAGAGGAAAAACAATGGGAGACCCTGTGATCCATCCTCCTCCACCAAAGTGGGGGTCAGTGCCCCAGGGGAAATGGGGAAAGGGATCATGGACGGAAACAGAGGGAAGGGCAGAAGGAAGGCTGGACAGAGGGAGGGCTGGAAGACAGAGTTGGAGGTGAGGAGACAGGGATGGAGAGAAGGATGGACTGGAGGGAAGAGAGAGATGAAGGGATGGACAGACAAAAGGAAAGGAAGGAAGGAGTGAAGTAGGAAAGAGACAGATGGACAAAGAGAAGGCAATGAGGGAAAGGGAGGAAGGAAAGAGAGAAACCAAGGGAGTTATGGAACTAGGAAAGGGCAGGCAGAAGAACAGGTGGAAGCAGGAAAGGGATGAAGGATGGAAGGACAGAGAGAATGACAAACAGGAGAAGGAAAGTGATGGACAGAAGGACGGATGGAAAGGGAGGGACAAATGGAAGGATGGATGGGCAGAACGGAAAATGGATGGCAGGAGGGAGGGAAAGAAGGATGGATCTAAGGACAGATTGAAGTGAGTAAAGAAGAAGAGACAAGAAGAACAGGAAAGACAGAAGGAAGGAGGGATCAAGAATGGAAGGAAGGATGGACAAGAGAACAGACAGAAGGAATGACAAGACAAGAATGAAAGGAAGAAATGATGGATGGATTGGATAAGATAGGATAGAATAAGAAAAGGATCCAAGGATAGAAGGAAATGCTGAAAAAAAGCAGGAAAGTGAGGGACCAAGGGATGGAGGGAAGAACAGACCAGACAGGAGGAAGTATGGAGAGATGAAAAGACATAAAAGAGAGGAAGGGATGTAAGAAAGGCTGGATGGACATAGGAGAGGGATGGAGTGATGAAAGGAAGAATGGACAGAGGAAATGGATGACGGGAAAGGCAGATGGAAGGAAGAAGAGGGATGAATGGATGGCAGGAGGGGGATGGACAGCATGACAGAAGGACAGGAGGAGGATGGGGACAGTGCTGTGGGGGCCAGAGAGGGGGATTTGTGGGTGGCACCTCTGTCACCATAGCCACTGTGGTGGCCATGAAGCTCCATGATCACCAACAACCATCCATGGCCACTTCACTCCACCCATGTCACTCATATGATTCCCTGCAGTGCCACCACAGTAGGACCAGGGACAACAGCGTGGGACACTGTAGACTATGAACCACTGATGGTGGCCTTGGTGGCCATGCCACAGCATGACCCCACCAGGCCACCCAGTGGGGTGGCACATGAGAGATGAGAGATGTGGCAGCAGTGATGTCTTGGCCTCATGTAGCCCATGGGTCTTTGTCCCCTCAGATGCCACTGTTGCAAAGCACAGGGTGGGACATCCATGTGTTTGTAGTAGTGGCAGTACATGTGGCCTGTGACACTTCCCACTCTCCGGTCTGCATCCACAGCACATGCCCACCATCAGCTGGAGAGATTTTAGACATCACCTTTCCCACCAAACAGCCATGGACCTGTTTTTTTTCCCCCTCGGGTGGCACTGAGTTGACATGGGGTTACCACAGTGACTGACACACAGGCATCACACCAGGCCCATCTGGAGCCAATCCCACAGGGGTGGGCACAGCTGAGGAAGCCCCCAGCAGCTCCCACCCACTGTGGGTCCAAGCCCCCTGTCCTCATCCACATCAAACCCCACCAGGTAATTTGGGGTGTCAGATGGAGATACCTCACTTTTGATCCAGAGGTGAAGAAACCTGCTCCAAGCTCCCCCAAACCATTACACCCACCCAGAATAATAAAAACGGAAGATTTTGAGTGCTACTGGGACCCACTGGGGTGGGGGATCGTGGCGGGGGTTCTACAGCCAGGACAGGAAGAGCTGGGGAGCTGGAATTCCCTGAGCTGAGTCCAAAATGGGGGTGGCAGAGAGATGAGGGGGTAGGGAAATCTTGGAGGAATGGGATGGAATGGGGATACAGACTGGTTGTGGGGGCAATATGGGATATAGAGGGGGAAGATGGGAGAGTAAGTAGCAGTATGGAGCAATATGGGGGGAATAAAATGGGCTTCAGAATAAGGGGGGATGCAAGATGCTGGTGAAGGGTGGGATATGGTGGAAGGTGGGATAGAAGAGAGGGAGGTCAGATAAGAGTAGGGATTGGAAAAATTATGATGGGGTGACAATAATAATAATGGAGCAAAAGCAGAGGAGGGGTGGAAGTTAATGGGAAAGAGGGGAAAACACTAATGAAAGGGCTGGATAGAAGTGAGGAAGATCAGATATAACACTGGGGAGTCAGATACAATATAGGGGATCAGAGATAACAGCAGGCACTGGAATATGGGGTGAGCAATAATAATAAAGAGGTGCAGGATAGGGAGCAGCAGGAAATGATATAGGGAATGATAAGTGGATGCAAGATGATGGTGATGGGTGGAAAACACTAGTGTGGATTGGATAGAAAAGAGGGGGTCAGATGTAATAAAGGGGGAGTCATAAAATAGTAGGGACTGGAACATGATGGTGAGGGGTGGGAGTAATAATAGCGCAAAATCAGAAAAGAGGGTGGAAGATGGTGAGTGGGATATGATGGCAAGGGGTGAGATAGAAGACAAGGGGGTCAGATACAGTATAAGAGGTCAGAGATAACATGGGGGTATTGAAATATGATAGTGGGTGGTCGGCAATAGTAATAATAATAACGGAGTCCAGAACCAGAGGAGGGGGCGCAGGAGAAAAGGAAGGGAGAGAGACACGGCTAAGGGGTGAGAAGTAGAGGCCCCACGGGGGGCGGGGAGCGGCGGGGGCCACGGACCCACATGGGGAAACTGAGGCACGGTGGGTGCGCATGCGCAGCCTCCCCCCCCCCTCAGCCCCCGTC